GCTGCTTACAGCCATTGTTCGGAAGGGTTCATGGAACTACAGGGAGGTGAGGCGCCCAGGGATTAATTAGCAAGAGCAGGAAGCTTTTACCCACCTGGGCCTGAAGGGGGCAAGGGAGATCTTAACAGAAACAAACTAGCCCTGGGAGAAGGACCGCCTGACAGGAGCTGTGGCCTCAGTAGAGGACTCCAGAGACACCCACACTGAGGCCCTGCAGGGATGGAATGGTAGGGGACACATAAAGAGACCCTAGTCTCCTCTGTGACTCCCATGCAGGGTTGCCAGGTAAAATACAGGATACCAGTTAAATTTGAATTTCAGATAAGCAAGGAATTTCTTTTTAGTGTAAGTGCAATATTTAGACATTATTTCTACTAAAAAATCATTCCCTGTTTATGCGATTTGTTGTTGTTTTTAAATCTGGCACCCCAGCCCCTGAGCTGACTTAACCAGAAGCCAGAAAGCAGCAGGTGGGGGGGGGGGGTTCAGTCCATTAAACTTCTCAGGGCCTGGAGCCAAGAAGAGACAGGGGATCTGGAGTTAAAGGAGGGATTTCGAAAACTGGAAAATGGTTGAATGTTTCAATGGAGAGAAAAAGAACTGATAATTTAGGGAAGATTGAAGACATTCGAGAGCAGTTTGAGAAAGGCACACAGACTTGTTCTCCACAGTGACAAGAGCAAAGGTGCTGAATGTGAGCACAGAATCTTTACAGTCCCTTTCACCCTCCCTATTGCCATTTCTACTCATCTCCTAACCCTTCCTGCTCCAAAACCATTGACCTCCTTGCCGAACTTTGATGTGGTTTCATAACCAGGAATGTTAAAAAATGACTGTGGGTACTACTTGGGGTTACCTGGACAATGAGTTAATTGGGACCACCTTGGTTCTAGCAGGAGGAGCTGCATCAAAACTTAGCTCTGCCTGGGGCTGGTGGTTTCCTTCCCCTGGCAGGAGGGGCTACAGATCGTCACGGAGCCCAAGGTCCCTGAACAACTTCCGTGAACACCTGACGCCTTAAACCCTACCTGCCTGACTCCAAGCAATGTTTGTTACCCTACTGAGAAGGCCACTCTCACAGGGAACTAGGTCCTGCCATTGGAGCACAAACCCACTCTGTGTCCGACCCCAGCACACCTCACCATGGGATGAAGAGAGGATAAGGAGTTGCAGCCTCTTCTAAACCTGTGAATCTCTCACTTGTAACACTCTCAAATAAAGCTTGTTCCTTATGCATTCTGCGCAATGTTGTGGAGTTTATCCTGTGCTCAGCCAAATGATCCCATGTCAACACAATTATACTCCAAGTGCATGACCCCTAGACATTCCAAGCCTGCTCCTGCTTTTGTACTTGGTGTGTATCCTGCCTGCAATATCCTTTCCCATGACTTATTTACAACACTCAAGTCTCTGCTTGAATGCCTCCTTATTAGAAAGACTTGCCTTGACCACCCAAAATGAAATAGTAATTTGGTTGTCCGCCCCCAAGCTTTCCTTTTATAGGCTGTTTTCTTTGTTTATTGTCTATATTCCCCAACTAGGATGTAAATTTCTTGAGGTTGACACTTTATTTTGTTTCCTGTGACACCCTCAGTGCTTAAGAGAGTACCTGGTATGTAGCAGGTACTCGAAAATATTTGTTGAAAGAATGCATTCATTCTTTCAACAAGATGGCTATTAAGTAGGCAAGACTGAAAACTAGAACTTCATTTAGGAAGTTACAGAGGCAAGAGAGGAGTCAAGAGATCATAGTAACTCAGAAATAGGATCTGAGTGAACATTACTAGGATAGGTTTTGGAGAGAGGGCTGATAGGACTTGGTGGATTTCATTTGCTGGGCAAAGGAGAGAGAAGAGTCAGGGATAGGCTCTCGTTATGAATGGCTGAGTGGATGGGATTTCCATTTACTGAGAAGGGAAAGCTTGTGGAGAAGCTGACTGAGTGAGTTGGGAGGAAGGTCAAGAGTTTGGGCACATTAGGTTTGAAATATCTATTAGGCATCCAAGGGTTTACAATCATACGTAAGCAATACTTGATGCAGTAGGTTCAGTTTGCAGGGAAAGGACATGGTCATGATATAGGAAAGGTCCTATACTCCTATAAATTTGGGAGTCTTATATGATTTAAAAAACCAATCACTATTTTATTTAATGTAGGGAAAATATATTAATAGTGAAGAGAAGGAAGTGTCAAAGGGAGTTCTGTTACCCCTCCTGCATTCAGAGACCAAACAGAAGAGAAAAGGCAAGCCAAATGGATAGAGAATAATTAGTATAAATTTTACGGAGGGAAAATTGCAATATGTATCAATGTCTTAAAGATAATCACACTTTTTATTAAGTAATTCAACTCCTAAAAATCTAGCTTATAAAATTCTAAAAAGTATGGAACAAGATTTATACACAAGAGATTTTCACTGAAGCATTATTTCATAATAGCCAAAAATTATGTATAACATAAATGTCCAAAAATAGCGCATTCGTTAAATAGTGATATAGCTGTACAATTGAATATTATGTAGCCATTAAATTTTGTTTATGAAGAGTTTTTAATGAGCTGAAAAATGCTTGTAAGATGATAAAATGTTGAGTGAAAAAATAGCATGCAAAATTTTATGTACAGTATGATCTCAATTATTTAATCATACATCCTCATTGAAAAAAGCTGGAAAGAAATATACTGAGCTAGTAATATAACTTTCAAGTTATTGGCTTATGAATAGTTATTATTTTTCTTTGTTGAATTTTCCCCAAATTATCATGTTTTTTCTCTACAAGCAGAAAACACTGAAAGAAAATTCTTCCTTAAATTGAGTGGAAATCTGTCTCACTCTTACCAAGTCAACTGGTTCTTGTTAACCTTTCATGGATATGAAAACGTGAGCAAATCCAACTTCTTTTATCTATGACAGCCTTCAAACATTTGAAGAGAGTTGCCAGCCAAGAGTTTTAGCTTTACCTGTGATTCTATGTCCCTCTGACTTTCCAACTGCTAAGGAAAGAAATCATCTGTTTCAAAGCTCCTAACAGAGAATCTCCTACATCTTTTACAGGTTGCTCTGTGAGTAGTTTCTCTAAACTTCAGATTCCTTATATGAAAAATGGGAATAAATTGTTGGAGGGATTGTATTTGATGGGATATTGTATATAAATGACTTTTATAGTCTAGGCACTATGTAAATTTGAAGGAAGGGATGCTCACGGGAGAAGAGTGGGAAAGGAGGGAGAAGAGAGACAACCTGAGCACGTGCAGCTCTGTCACTAACTACGGCAGTGGTGCAGGTCCACACGACTCCCCTCCATGTGAGGGATTAGATCAGCATTCTGTATTGCTGCTGAGTTGTGGCCTTTTTCTTAGGCCATTGCATTATTGGAGACCAGTAACTATTGTTCCTCTTCCTCCCCGCCCCTCCCTTTTTAGTCACTTACCCTCTCCTTAGGGATAATTCTGCCATTTGAGAAAGGACCTATAATAGAGAGGCAAAATTGACCCCCAAATCCCCAGTAAGGACTCAAGGACAAGATAATGCTCAAATGTGGTTAAGTGAATGGTCGATTGACTACTTTTGGTGGGAAGTTGGCCTCCACCAAAGGTATCTTCTTGAGTGGGGTATCCTATTTTCCTCTTGGTGATCAACTAATGACTTGTCCTGTTTTCTCTTTTTCTATAAAAGGGATTTTCCTTAAATTCAAAGCCAAAATGTCTTCTGCAAGAATTAGTTCACTAGATATCTATTGATTATTTACATGGTAGGGCCCAAGCCTTGCTGCAATTTTGTTTTCAATCCAAGGTTTCTTCCTTCCTTTGAAGGGTTCTCTAATTAATTGACATGTAAATGAAGCTTTGGAGTTATGGGTTTATCAAGGGCTTTGCTTCCATTCTCAAAGGCTTTCTCATCTCATTTCCAAGGCGATTTGCATATATTCACTCATAGTTCTCCTTACACTTTTCTTTGAAGAAACCACTTACCCCTGGGTGTTCGGTGTATACAATTCCCTTGACCTAATTCTGTGCTTCACTTTCCCCTGAGCAATGACATTGCCTTAGGTAAAAGTGACATATTTCCATCACTGATGAGCCTCCTGAAAGATTCAGAGAGTGTCTTGGGTACTGGCTTGAATGTATCTAGAGCTGGGGTTGTACATCCTGTCATCTTTAGAGATCCCAGACACAAATTAAAGAAAAAAAATGCACTCTTCCATGTAGAAAGGGATAATAATCCTTCACACATAAAGTTCCTTTCTTTTTGCTATGCTAATTAAATTTAGATGGGTTTGGTAAAGAATGGGTTATTTTTTCTTCTCCATCCTGACTATTCAAATAGTATTAAACAACTATGTCTTCATGAAGGATGAGTTGCTCTGCCTCTTGACCTACATTTTGGTTACATTCCCTTGTTGTGGAGGAAGGGAGGCATTCATCTTTTTCTGAAATTGAATTTGTTACTTGCTGGTCATCATTTCTTGTAAAGTAAACTACATGTCACTTTGAATGCTTAGCTAGCCATAGTGTTCATTTATTCATTCTTTTATTCAGAAAACAACTGCTAATTGAATGGCAATACATGCCAGACACTGCTGGATTCTAGTAACAGGAGTAGTCTGCCTCTCAGGGCTTTGTGGATTAGCACAAATTCTCTGATGTGTGTAGTAGGGGATAGAGCAGGCCTGAAATTAGGAAAAGGTGGATTATCATCCTGGGGTAGTCCTATTTTGTGACCTTGGACTTGTTACAAGTGAGGAAACATGGTTCAAATATAATTCCATGTTTCATCAATTTCAGATGCCTTTGCATGTAAGATGAACCTTATTTTATGTACCAGTAAGACAAAACAAAAACTGCTTACCAAGCTATGATAAAATACTTTCTTACTCAATTGGAATTTTTATTTTATATTCTGAAAAAGCTCTTTTAGATTTATTTAAACATAGATTTCTAAAATTATGTATCTTATTTTGTACACACCAAAATAAAATTCAAGCAAAATAAGATTTGTTCAGAGTTGGCATCTTCTGAGTCAGTTTTCAGCTCAATGTTGCGGATGCCCATGCTTTCTCCTCAATATCGCTGTCCACATCATCAAAAAATGCTGATGATTTGCATTTCTTTGAAAGCGCATGCCTCATTATCGTGTTTTCTCTCTAAGCTACTGATAACCATTCTGCAAATATTGACACTGGAAGTTTCTTGGTCTTACCAGAATGTGTTAACTGGTGGTTATCAGACAACTAGAACTCACAGCCCTCCCTTGAAGGCTTTGTTGATTTAAAGATACAAGAATTGAAGTCATTTGATTATATAAAAACATGTACAGAAATAACATGTTTTCTCACTCACAGGCAATCACATCAACTGGGAGCATAATAGAAATGTGGATTCTCAGGGCTCATGCTGGATGCACAGAATCAAAATCTGCAAAAAAGCAACATCTCCATTAAAGTCTGAGAAGCACAGCCTAAGGGAGAGTTTCTCCCTCCAGGCAAACACATGCACACGCCATCAAGGACACCAGAGCTCATCAGCCCTTGAGAAGCTAACATTCAGCACCTGAGGCTATGAAATGTGTAATCTACTTGAAGATTTTAATAATGGCTGAGCTTTAATCAGTTTTATAGGTAGGAATGGTGAGTTCAGGTTCAGCAAAATTGGAGGCAGGATTGGACTCTATATGGGGCAGAGTTTAATGGGAGAGGGCTGTGGGATGCAGATGAGAAAGTTTGGCTATGAGAAAAATCCCCATGGAACATCTTCTGAAAGACTGGGAGAGAATATGAGTACCCCTAACCCAAAGACCCAAGGGGAAGCTTCACTTTGGTACAGGGCATGCAAGAGCCAAAGCAAGTTAGTGACTAATTCCCTCCCTCCAGTCTATTCTGCAGAGTTAATAACAATTTTGGAACTCTCAAATAAAACATTACCTAAAGTAGTAGCTTTCAAACTTTCAAAGATTTTTGACTTGCAATTTATAGTAAGAAATACATTTCATGTTAGTTGTAAGCTGAAATAAATATTGCATAAAACTATACTCACCCTTCCTATCTTAATGCACTGTGGTATTTTATTCTATCACATGTCACTAAGTAAAAAGTGACCTACTACCATGATTTCATGATCTCCCAAAAGGTGTTGACCCATTGGTACAGTCTGTTTTCTGGAGGAGAGGGGTGGGTGGTATGAGGACAAGTTGAGAAGGGGAATCCCTTCCTCCCTGGTCTTCAGTGAGATCAGGACTATCTACCCTCAGTGTAGACATCTGATAATACTTCTATCTTTCTAGGCGACATGGGAGATGCATCCCATGGGAGAAAAGAAATAGGGAGGAGAAGGAGCAGCAGCAATAATCACAACTTCCACATGGGTTACATCAGTGGTTTGGCATCAAAGCAAACTATTTTTTTTTTTTGCACAACAATGACAAAATATTTTTATAATAGGACAAGAAATTAAAATTATTTACCACATTTTCTTGCCCATGGGCTTTGTATGAAGAAGGTTTTGAGTGGATTAAGGAAGGACCACATTGCTTTCCTTAACAAAAATGATGGTCACTCTTTCAGTCCATTTGGGCTGTTATAACAAAATACAACAGACTAGGTGGCTTATAAACAACAGAAATTTGTTCCTCAATCCTGGAGGTAGGGAAGGCGAAGATCAGGGTGCCGTCATTTTTGGGTGAGGGCTTTTTTCTGGGTCTCAGACTTCCTGTGTGTCCTCAGGTGTTGGAAGGAGCTAGGGAGCTCTATGGGGTCTTCTTAATAAGAGCACTAATTGTATTCATGCAGGCCCCACCCTGGTGACCCACCCAAGCCCCTCTGAAAGGCCCCACCTCCTAATACCATCAGATGGGGCACGAGGAGTCCAAATATTCAGACCACTGCAGGCAGAGAGGGGAAAGAACAGAAAGGAGGCCAGAAGGACCAGCATCGGAGAGAGGAGAGAAGGAGTGGGCCAAGCAGGTTTAAAAAGAAAGATGGCTGGGAAACCTGCTATGCAGGTAAGAAAGTTTTTGTAAAGATTTTTATAAAATAAATCTAGTATAACACCTCCCTTGATGTACTATGCAACTCTAAGAAAACATTTAGAAAGAGTGAAAGCTTTTGTAGATGTGTGTATGTGTGTATTTTGTACATGATGAAATGAGCCTTAGGGCCACAGCCCTTTAATATGGATTTACAGAAGGAGAGTGAAATAATAGCCTTAACTAGCAAGTTGACATTTTTGCTGATTGAGCATTTAAGGCGGTCACTCAATAAGAAAAATAGGGATTATAGTGGGTTAAAAGATCTGATTTACACTCATAAGCATTTGCATGCATAGCTGCAAATGTTTGCCTGTGAACATATTCTCAGCAAGATCAAAGTGGGCCTGGTGAAACATGTGGTCTTTGTATATTTAAAATTTTTTAATTGCCTTGTAAGTTTCTAAAGGCAGTATCAATACTGACTTTTGAGATCTGTAGTGGACTACAGGGTCTGATCTTATCTAGGTCAATGTTTTTAAAAGAAACATGATTTTTTTCATTACCAAAAAATTGAAAGAAATCTGTAGAATATGTATAAACAGGAGGATGGTTCTCTCTCCATAAATTTAAGTTCTCACAGGACCTCAACTGATTAAAAAACCTTAGGATAAGAAGAGAAGCTGACGCAGTATTTCAATGAGGTTTTTTAGGAAAATTCAACAACCTATCATGAAATCAAATGAGCCTATGTTTCCCTAAGACCAGAGCTGGGCATAAGACAATGGGTGTACTCAATATGTTCAGATTATTGAGAACTGTTCCATCGTTGAAGCTTAAGTTATCAGAAGAAAAATCTACTGAATTTTCCTTGAACTTGAGGGTTTGATGAGACCTGTAGCCCCTGTACGTCTAAGGACCCCTTACTTCTCTCAGCAGATAAAGCTATACTGGATATATATGATATGTAATATCATAATATATATGATATTAGTGTCCTTAGAGCAGTTTCCTTAAAAGTAAGGTTTTTTATGAGTCATGGTAAGGAAGTAACAAGAGGACCCTTGCAACCCCTGAAACAACAGATGAGCTCTCACCATGCTCTGGAATGTTCCAATGCACTCAGAGCTAGCAGGTCTGTAGTCTTCTCTTAGGATGCTCAGGTAAACACTCAGCAGGAATGTTTCCTTCTTTTAATTTATTGTAGGAAGAAGTTGAACTAAATGTGCATACCAACTTAGAGCCTTAGCCTCTGAAGTAACTGTGTTGGTAGCTTGGAAAAACAGACAATAGGCAAATCAGGACTTAGAATAGAAAATGTGGCCAACCCTACGAACCTTATCCTTTTTCTATCTACTGATAGTCATTAGAAATTATATTTCCCTTACTGAAGGTGTCATAATTTCCTTAATCTTCAAATGGAGTGTTTTTGCAGTACATGCTCTGTCCATGTAGATAAAGGCTATGCCCATGATACTTCCCTCTTCCACCTCTGAACCATCCTGATTCTTTCAAGAGTCAGCTCACCTCTGTGTCATATTTCTAGTCTTATTCATATTTATAAAATGAAGGACTCAACCCAAGATTTCTAAGGGCTCACCCAGCTGAACTCTTTGATTTTTCAAGTCTTCATCCCCACCGTCTCCCAGTGGTATGCTGAGGTCAGCTCCTGTTGGTCCCCACTGGCCGCTCTTCCCAAATACAATAAATTGACAAATACAATAAATCAGAGTGTTTTAGTTCCTGGAGAGCCAATTGTTAAACATGATCAGTGCACCACTACCCCTCTCTCAAGCTTAATTCTCTCAACCTGACATATGTCACTAATTGAATTTATCATGGCCATCTCAAATGCTACTGGCAAAAACTGAAACTTGAGTCTCAACCTTCTTCCCTTCCCCTCCACTACCACTTGTCTCTTTTGAGAAAGCAACTACATCTTTTTCCATCAGCTATGCATAAATCTTGGTATCATCTTTGTTTCATCTCTCTCCACTGAGGGCACACACTCTTAATGGTTGTTCATTTGAGTTTTCTCTTAAAACCACTGGTTTTCCTCATTTCCCTTGCCAACCTTCATCATGTAGCACCTGAATTTATTCAAAAGACTCCCTACTCTCTTTTTTTACTTCTCTCCTTCCCAAACCTGTAAATGGCAACAAAAAATTTCTTAAATCCTATCTTCAGCCCAATAAAAATCTTTCAGAGCTCAAACTTCCTGATCATGTTTCATCTCTAACACCCTTTGCCTGGCACTGTGTCGATTATTTCACCTTTTTTTCCTGCTCTGTCTTATCCCTGTGTTACAATGACCCTTCCTGTCATCTCACATATACCTCATCTCCCAAGCCGTTCTGTCAGGGACTCAGGACACCACTGCCTCATCTGTAGGAAAGAAGTACGGGCTGTTGCAGCTGCTGAGGCAGCAGCAGATCAGCCTCCCAGGTCTACCCTCACGTGGGGCTGCTCTGAGTCTGCTCACGTCCAGCTCCCACGGGCGGCTTTCTTTCTCCCTCCAGCTCAGCTCTGTAACTTGATAATGCCTTCTTGCTTTGACTCCTTGGCGAATGCTAACCTGATTTAGAACTATTTTCAGTGATTCTTTTGACCCTGCTGAGCAGAGAACCCTAGAGGACACTGTTCCTAGGCTCTGTGTATGCTCTGTATTTTGATATTTCTGGGACAGAGGCTGGCAAATTATGCCCCATGGGCCAAATCCGGCTCACTATCTTTGTACAGCCTGTGCACCAAGAATTGTTTTTACATATTTAAATAGTTGGAAAAAAATCCAAAGAAGAATATGTGAAACTCAAGTTCCAGCATTGATAAATAAAGTTTTATTAGAACACAAGCATGCCCATTTGCTAAAGTGCTGTCTGTGGCTGCTTTTTCACTACAACAGCAGAGCTGAGTGGTTGTGGCAGAGACTTTAGGGCCCACAAAGCCTAAAATATTTACTATTTTGCCTTTCATACAGAAAAGTTTCCTGACCCTTGTTCCAAGATTTCAACATTTAGTGAGTGAGATAGACATGAAAACAGAGAATTACAATGTACTTGGATGGCTAATTTGATAGCAGTAGAGACAAGAGTAGGAGAGGGAGGATAAAGCCTCTACTAGAAATTGTATCTGAGAGATGTTTGAATTGTATGGAAGGTGGAGAGTTCTTCAACATTTGGATCAGACAGGGGAGGCACTAGAACAAAGATACGAGGGCAGGAGAGAGAGGCATGATTTGGGGAAGAAGAGGAAGTTTTCACATATCTGTAGAGTTGACTACATAAAAGAAAAGGACAGGAGATAGAACACCTTAGATGCAGCATCTTGAAAGTTCCCAAGTGCTGTTCTGAACAGTGTATTTCAGACATGTAAACCTAAGTCACTGAAAGACTTTGTGCAAGGGGTGAAATGAACAGGTTTACCACTTAGAAACAGGTTTACCTCTTAGATACTT